TATCTCTAGCGTGACCTCCTGTATTCTAAGCTCACTACCTTCATTGTCTTCAAAAATCATGACTGCTGATTTTTTCTTACTGAATCTGAAATCTAACCTATTTCCCTAATTACCGTAGATGTCCATAAATCTCTGCAAATCTTCCTTGTTGTCGGCCATTAGCACTATATCATCTGCGTACATCAATGCTGATAGTGCCTGTTCAATGAGTTTTCCTTGTTTGACTGAAGAGAGGTTGAAGCCAAGTCCACTTCCCTCTAATTTGGCCTCTAATCCTTATAGGTACATCATGAATAACAAGGGTGACAGTGCACACCCCTGCCTAAGTCCCTGTTTCACCTCTGTGGGCTTGGATACCTGTTTTTCCCGCATTATAACTAACTTGTTACTTTTATAGATTTCCTTTAAAAGATTAGTAACTCCATCTTCCACGCCTAGTGTGTCCAGTATTCCCCACAATTCCTCTTGAACCACGCTATCGTACGCTCCCTTGATATTCAAAAATGCTAGCCACAGGGGCCCGTGTTCCTATTCTGCTATTTCGATGCACTGCGTCAGTGAGAATAGATTGTCTTCCAAACTCCTGTGTTTCCGAAACCCATTCTGCAGTTCCCCCAGCACCCCCTCATCTTCTATCCATGTCTGCAGTCTTTCCTTTATAATCTGCATCGCCAGCCTGTAGACCACTGATGTCACTGTTATAGGACGGTAGTTGTTTATGTCAGCTTTGTCTCCCTTTCCTTTATAGATCATGCTCATCCTGCTAAGTTTCCATCCATCGGGGACCTCACCATCGATTATTATTTTGCTCACTGCCTCTCTCAAAGCCTGCTTAGACTTCAGGCCTAATGTCTTTATCAGCATAATTGGAATGCCTTCTGGGCCTGTTGATGTACTACTACTAGGAACCCTCTTCTCAGCCCTTTCCCACTCTCGTTGTGAAAATGGAGCCATTGCGCCACTTGATCCATCCTTGTCTATTGTGGTGCATAAGGCACTTCTTTGTTGAAATTTTTCTGTCACACTTGTTCTTATATATTCAATAGCTTTGTCCTCTTTTAGCCTAGCACCTTGAGCTGTAGTTACAAACCTCTGCTCTAGGCTCATCTCATTTCTTAGGGAGTTTAGATGGTTCCAAAATTTCACAGTTGCCTTTCTATCTTTTTTGTGTACTTCTGCCAGCCACTGAAGCTCCCTTTCTTCTAATCTTTTCATTGATCAGAAGGGATGCATCCCTTCTACAGCTTAGAAAGATTTCCCATTTTCTTTCAACATCATCTGTCGGTTCACCCCGCTGCTTAGCATGTCTGTGTTCTCTAGAGGCTTCCCGACGTTTTGCTATGGCTCTCTTAAATTCCTCATCCCACCAACTTTTGGGTTTGTGTCTTCTCTTCGGGGGTGACTTGTCACATTCCTTAGCAAGCTCTAGCTCAAATAGTCTAATTAGATTCGTGTATGTCCACCTCATGACCTATCCGCCCATCGAAGTGAATTCTGTCTCGTTGAAAACCACCACACCTATGCACCTCTTTGTTTATTTCCATCACCTCAAAGCCTTTTTCTCGACTCATCCGCCATATTTCTTGGTTTGCGTTGACAATCGCTCTTTGCAGGTTGCTGTCACGCACCGGTACCTCCGGTATCGTGCATATCACTACCTGTGCCTGAGAAGAAGTGGCGCACATGTTTTCGACCCCTTTCGCCAGTGTGGTTGCTAGTCCTGCTGTATTTCCATTTAAGACATTGTTTGAACAGCCTGAAATTATCATGAGGTTTCGTCTATCAGCTGTAATATTGAGTTTTGCGCTCGCTTGCCTCATGACTGCTTCTAGCTTGCGTCCTGGAAACGCCCCTACTGCAACCCTCTTGTCACCTCTTACCCTCTCTTTGATGGCTTCTGTGCATCAATTTAAATTCGAGTCCCTGGTGAGTATCACATGCTGTGATTTTTCAGCCAGAGTGTCCTGCAGCTGGGGGTTACTTGCCCCTGTGACGCCGGCTGCTTTGTCACCTCTCAGCCCCACCACTACTTCGCCGAAGCTGGGCCTTGCGACAATTGAATTGACTGAAACTGTTTTTTTCAAACTTGCTTGCTCTTTCTTCTCCGCCGTTCTGGTTGCCGGTTCCTACTGTTCTCTCCGTAGGCCGCTCCTTTGTTCAGCTTCGCTAGTGCTTCCTCGGCAGACTTCAGCCTTTCTCCCATTGCCCTTGTTTTTTCTTGCTCTGTCGCCAATGCAGTCTCCAGCTCGGTGGTTCTCATCAGCAGTTCACTCTGGACAACCATCATTTTCTCTATTTTTTCCTCGACCTCACATTGCCTACACTTCGCGTCAGCCTCTTCTCCATCCGCTTCTACACTTGGGTTCATTTTCAAACCCACCCTGCATCCTGAACACTTTACAGTCTTTTTAACCATGTCTTTCTGACACCAATTGTCCCTATGACTTGTCTCACTCGATAATTACAAAACTCGAGCCCTGCCCTACGAAAAAGAGAAAGTTTAAGCTCTACCACAAAAATTTGCGTGTTCGATGTACGTGCACCTCCCCCACGAGATGGCAAGAGAAAAACAAAAATATACAAAAATCAAACACACACATGCACACAAACTAATAAATACCTGGTGACTTACCCCCCGAAAAAGTCGTACAATGTAATAAGTGCTACAAAAATTTTAACTGCTGCCTTATTAATTATAAAGATAAGCTCAAAACATTCAAAACCACTTATCTGCGCAGTCAATCGGGAGTGCTAAAAAAACACGTCCATCCACCGTGAGAGTCCGAACCGAACCTGAAAACGCGCCACCTACTGCTCAATAGTTTTGACCCTGAAATTCGGCTTCTGTGCGAAACACGTGTGCCACGCGGCGCAAACAACTTTACAAGAGGTGTGAGCATCTCACAGGCTGGAGGGCGATATCATGGTGCTTTCTCAGCTGTCGGAAGTGAAAGAAAAGGAGTCTTTCTGAAGGCTTGTTTTTATGTTAGATGCCTACAAATGAATCCGACAGATAATTAGGTCAGTGAAAGTTAGTATGGGAAGGTCAGCTGCCGCCTCGTGCTCGGATCACGTGCCACTTGGCACCCTCTTGCAAAAAGAGTGTTCTGCACACTCTACCTGGGCCATGAGCTGCACTGGCTAAGACAATGAGGAAATGCGGGCACATAAATACCCAGCAAAGTGGACAAGGAACTGCCTTCTGTCATAGCTCAATCAGTAGAGCTTTGGATGCATAATTGGGAATTTCCGTGTTTGGACACCACTCACTCAAAAGGTGATTTTTCGTCCACTTCAATTCATTTTCAGTTTACGTTTCTTTACTACACTGCAGTTAAAAATTAAACAATGTCTCCAACGCTTGCCCTGGCTTCTTTAGAAGTTGGGTTTTTTGCTCAAGCGTTGGATAGCCAGCATCTATGATGGGATAAACATGGCGGCACTTGGACTGGTCAGGGGTCACCATTTGTTGATGGGTCCAAATGCAGCTGCAAGGTTTACCAATCATCGTATTTGGACCCATAACCATTTGAGGATGGGGCCAAATAGGGTGACTGCAACTATAATAAGAGGTCCCTACAAAACATTGCTTGTTACAACCACTGTGTATTTAACTTCTGCGTTCGGTAGTGAGCTGGTATTCTAGGATAACTTTTCATGTGAGATCTCCTGATCGAGTGTTTTTTTTTTTTTTTTTGCACTTTCCCAAGTATGCTGTCTTCCCGGCTGCGGCAGCTGCATTTCCGATGGAGGCGGAAATGTTGTAGGCCCGTGTACTCAGATTTGGGTGCACGTTAAAGAACCCCAGGTGGTCAAAATTTCCGGAGCCCTCCACTACGGCGTCTCTCATAATCAAATGGTGGTTTTGGGACGTTAAACCCCACAAATCAATCAATCAATCAAGTATGCTGTCTTGGCTACATGCCAGGTGCTGGGTCCGCAGACATAGCAAAGGTTCTAGTATGAGGATGCTAACTCCTCCCCCGCTCGTCTTCATGCATGCTAAATGCTGTGCTTCAGCATTACATGCACTTGCACTTTGCTGTTTGTAACTGGCTTTTAGCGTGCTTTGTACAGATTAGAAGAAGTGTGGCTACATCTGGCACATGTTGGAGGTATAAGTAGGATGCTGCGGTGAGTCGCTCATTGGGAGTGCATTCTAGATCAGCCCAATGCTGTGAAGCTTTTCATCAAGCTTGTAAAACTTTCTGCTGCTTTCTTCATTATATTGTTTTTTTGCATGTGAAATCATGGTTTTAAGAAAGAAACCATGGTGTTCCATGTCCATATACGTACTTTTAAATTTTGGATGAATATGCGGGTATTTTTCTCTTTTTACATGGAGGCAGTGCAAAAGTAGAAACTCTCATCTTGCTTCACTAATAATGATGGTCAAGCCCTAATTTTCATCATTACGGCTCCAAAGTGTTAGCACGCGTATGAGTGATTTGCATTCAGCTTTATTACATGTGTATTAAGTACTTTGAACAGCATAAGGGAAGCCTGAAGTTTGAATGCAAGACATTATTAGAGAGAATGTGTGCTTAGTGACATCTACCGGTAAGTAACTTGTGGAGTGATCGGGGTATTGAGTCTGGAATTTAAAAAAAAAAAAAACTGGCATTCATCCGGCAGGCACACTTGTTGAAAAGAAAACTTGTGTGAGCAAGTCACAACGTTATCATGAAATTATGTTATTGGTGTTTTGGACATCTTGTCATAGTCTTACGTGATATACTCATCTGTATAATATCGGCATCGCAAAGTAGTGACCATCACCAGGCTCGCTGCCCGTTCTCATTCAGCGCAAGCAAGCATGCCATTAACATTCTTTACTTTCTACACCTGTTCTTGTGTCTATGTTCTTTTATTATTTCCATCGAGATTGTTATTGATGGTGTATTGGGTTTCAACTTTTGAGTATTTTGTCATGGTTCGTATGTGGACCTGTAGCCAATTTATGTTGAGCAGATAATCAGTCGAACTCTATTTGTGTGCAGCTCCTGGAGAAGATGCTGCGTGTGCTATTCACGTCAAGGGACATGGTGCCAGTCAAGCGCTTTGTCAAGCTGCAATTCTCCAAGATTCTTGCCGAGCGGGTCAGCCCCCAGGACTTCATCTTTGCCCGCGAGTTTCGTGGTCTACATGGATACCAACCCAGTGCATGTGTTCCTGCCCTTGAAATCGCCAGGTGAGGTTTTATGTTCCAAAAAAGATATGCATGTTCATTTTTGGGACTTATTAGTAGATGAGAGCATATAATACGCTCTTTCGTAAAAGCCAGTTCCCACATTTTCATCTTAGTAGTTGAGAGGAAAAAAGAAAATTGAAAAAGGGAGTGGGGGATCACGCGGCTCGTATTGGCTGTTGCACACGATAGCGTATTCGTATCTTTGGTGTGCACTTACCATGGTGTCAGCTCATCGTCTGCTCTGGCGATTGATGTTTTAGCGTTCGTGTACACTGTTTGCAATCATTCTAGTCGGTCCTCACATGTGCTTGTCAGTCTTCCGCCGGCTTCATGAGATGATCGTTGACCGTCTTCATGGTATGCCGATTGTTGTGCTGTCAGTAATGATAGGCATAACAAAATTGAAGACTGCACGCATTCAAGAAAGCGTCAGATAAAAAGCTTGTACTCATGGCACAGTTCAGCCACACACCAACACGCGGCGACAGTTCTACCGATGCTTCCTGCTGTGCAGTTTCTGCTCTAGCTTTTCAAGACAACGAATCCATCGATGCTTCCAGCAATGACACTTATTGGCGCAAGAGTCCGTTGTAGAGGGTGTGGGGGATGTGTTGCTTAAACAGCAACAGCGAGCTCTGACATAGGTCGCAAGCAGTGGCTAGCATGTTGTCTCGATGGCCATCACTAGACTACTTGTATGTGTGGTTTGCTCTCAGCATTGAGATGACAGGCAGCGCACAAACCGTTTTGCATCCTAGAGCAGCAGGATTTGTTCTGATCAGTATTTCTAGAGTTACATGAGATCATATCCCAAAGAATAAGCTGCTAGCCTTACTATGTACAACATTCCCATTTGTTGCTATGGCACTCATAGCTTCAATCTTGCAGGGAAAGTGTGATTTTCTGCCACGCAAGTGCACGTGATAGCAGTCATGAAACTGAAGAACCCGCTGTTCTCCACGAAGCTGGTGATGATCAGCACAGGGACGGAACAGCTGTGCCCTTTGTGCCAAACTTGTTTACCTGTGCCATCTTGCGCTGAGCTACCCCTGTTGCGCCAATTGTTTTATCAGTTCCATACTGCCCGCAGCACCATAGTTTAGCCGCAAGGTGTGAAAGCCATCAAGCGCCGTGCCCAGAAACATAGAAACATCATCTTGCTGTCAGTTTCATCGAGACGGTTATAGTTTACGTTTCGTAAAGGCTGTGGTCGCTCCAGCAGCAGCTATGAACTTTGATTTGAAGGGCGCGGTCACGATCACCATGTGCACATGATCATGGCAGACATAAGCGCGAATGGCTCGTGAACCCTTCTATGTGCTGCGCTCTCATTGCAAAGGGACTGCATGATCATTTATTTCTCTTTCGCCCGGCTCGATGGAGGCGGAAATGTTGTAGGCCCGTGTACTCAGATTTGGGTGCACGTTAAAGAACCCCAGGTGGTCAAAATTTCCGGAGCCCTCCACTACGGCGTCTCTCATAATCAAATGGTGGTTTTGGGACGTTAAACCCCACAAATCAAATCAATCTTTCGCCCGGCTGCTGTAGAGTTACGTGATATCGGACCTAAAGGGGTTGGCTGCCGGCTTTATAATTTGTTGCTATTGAATTCATCACTTCGCCATTCCAGTGAAACTGTTTTCTAACTTGATGATAACATTTGGAAAAAGAAAGGAGGATGAAAGTAACGGTGCTCAAAAGCAGGGGTGATGGCTGGTTCCCAGAACAGCCTAGCAAAGACAGGTGCATTTGACTGCTCATCGAGCACATGGGCGTATTGCCGCTGTGGTTCGCGCTAGTCCACTCGGCAGTTGACTCTCACACATGCAGGTTACATAAAAAAGGGGTGGTTGTACATTACTAAAAATTCACAGTTGCACCGCAGGGGTGAAGCAATGAATGCGATAGCTGTAAATTATTCATTTAAACAAAGTGAGGCTGACATCTAAATCTTGCGTCCTATCTCACGTAACTGTACATAACGCTGGTGTACGATAGTATGGCCACTTCAAGGAGAGGAACGTTTTTCACACATTTTCCTTGCAATGAGAGCGCAGCACATTGAAGTGTATGCGACCTGTCTGCTGATGGTTGCTGAACTAGTGCGCGCGCCAGCGATCGCGACTACGCCCTTAAAGCCTGATTACACTTAACCGGTGGAGCACATCAGCACGTTGCTTATTGATGCAGCGCTGCGCCCTCTCTCTACGAAGAGCAAGGACTTGTGGCTACTAAAAGCTGTGTGCCTTCTCTCTTCAAAGAGAGAGGGCGGGGCGCTGTGTCATAAAGCAACGCGCTGACAAGCTGCAATGGCTATATGTCGTCAGGCCTTTAGAAGCTTAGTTCATAGATGTTGATCTAGCAACATACACCCACCTTCCCTCACTTCTTTTAATGCTTTTTTGAGACAGGCAGAGTGCTTTCCGTCTGCTTTACTACAGGCCTCCCGGGTGAGGGGTGCAATTACACGCGCCCGCTGAGTGACGGGAGATAAGTGGGATCGTTTGATCTCTACTTCACCTTTGTTCTTCGCACCTGCTCACGTGCGTTTACCCGTGGGTAAAACATATGATATTCGGGGGGTATTTTATCAATTTGGAAAATTTGGAATTTATATGGCACACGATGCCAATGGCAAAAACCCTTCGAAGGTGTTCGTATAATTCATCTTGCCATATTAAGGCTATTGCACAATTTAGCTTAGTGTTTGAAAAATGCAGCATGCAACAATTCACAAGTGCTTTGAATGGGAAACATCTGCTCTGAATGTTCTTACTGCTCTAAACTTGCTTTGCTCGAAAAGGCCCTTCTGGCTGCTCCAAGCCTGCTCGGAAACCTCTTTCTGGCTCCTCCAAGCCTGCTACAAAAGGCACTTTTGCCTGTTCCCAGGAGTGCTCTCAAACTCATGTGCCCTGTTCCACCCCTGTCAACACACTTGAACATGTGCAAGAGAGGTTTGACAGCACCGCTGTATAAAGCATGCCAAGGAGCTTACAGAGTATGATATTTACAAAGAAGGCCAACATTAGGTCCTCGGCAGACTGGAGGCTTCCAGCATCTAAGGAATATGCAGAGCTGTGTATGAAGGTATTGAAGCACTGTTTACATCAGTGCCGCGTTTTCTTATGTATAACTTATCCTTGCATATTGCTAAGTCTGAGTGTTTGCTGATAGATTCAGAAAAAAGGAGTAAACCTCGCTGGTTAAATCTTTTACAGTTCAGTTTTTTCCGATAAAGTCCGGTTTTAAGTGAACATTTTTCATGTTCCAACAGCCTTTTCAAATTTTAGAATCAAGCACTGTATGTCTGCGAGAAATGTCAGATGCGGCGCTTGTTCAAATAGTGCAACATCGCGAACAGGAGAAATGTGCTTCAGAGAAAGATTCACTGTCAGCCATACCTGCTGCAAAAGAAGTGGGACGGATGCTTTGGACTTCTTGCATCGCGCTGCCGGCACATAGACTGGTGAATGTGCATTGCGTGATTCAACTCCCTTGGAGAATCGCTTCATCATGCAGTCGCCGTCCAATTTCCTGGACCCTCAGGGACAACAAAAACGTGCGGAAAATTGGGCAGTCTAGAAAAATGAATGCACGCAAAACCGCACCTTTTTCACAGGTATATTTTGCTGACGGACAGAGTCACAGCAGGATTACAAGATCCTCATTGAAATCTAGCAAATGTGTTATTTAGATGGTTCTGAAAAGAGTCGTTTATTTAAAAAAGAAGAAAAGAAATTCGATATGCCGGCACTACCTCATTGGTCAACTCTTTGGCCCAAAAAAGCGGTAGATTTTTTTTACATGGCATTCCACATTTCTGCGAAGATGTCTGCCTCAAATTCAGCTAACGTCATGCTGTTGCTGTACACCGATGACAGTGTCATCAGTGCTCGCTTGAACTCCCAGCTCGTTGGCTCTGTAGGCGCTGCCTCTTCGATCTTTGAGTCGTCGGACTGCTCCGCAACTTGACGAATGACTTTGTTATCGGTCGATTCCGCACGAAGCTCAAGGTCTTCGTAAGCATTGGCGAAGCCGTCAAAGGTTATCCCAGCTGAAATCGAAACGCTGTAAGCACGCAGATCGTTGAAAGCAACGTCGATGGACAGAAGTTTGTCACGTACACTGTCCTCTCAGGTCGAGATGGCCGTTTCGGCGTCAAGTGTGAAGTCTGCGGGGCAAAAACGATTACTAAGAGTCTCTTGCATGACCGCTTTCCACGATTCTGCAAGCATGCGGATGGCAGAGCCTAGGGTCAACAGCGTCAAGTTGCGAATCACGCCTTGGTCGATTGGCTGCAGGATAGCTGTGGTGTTGTTCGGCGGCAGAAATTCAGCCTTTGCAGCCTTTAGGTCCTTGATGTGGCCATACGCAGCGCAGTATTCACAAACAGCAGAACTTTTCGATGTTGCTGCTCGAACCTTCTGTCCAGCGTGCGCACATGCACTTTGAGTAGCTACTGCATCAGCCATGCCTTCTTGTTGCCTTCATAGAGTACAGGCAGAGTCACTGCCACCTTGGAACATTTCAGAAGCTTTGACTTCCTTATCACAAGCAACGGAAGCTTCCTGCTGCCTTACATGTCTCTGCCAATGAGGACAGTGAGCCGCTCTTCACTGTGCTTATCACCGTGGCATGGGTCACCAGCAAATGCAAGCGTTTACTCTTGCAGAAGCTTCTAAAACAGTCCGGTTTCATCGCAGTTGAATATATTGTCAGGTAGAAACTGCTGAAGCAAGGACTGCACCCTTTCATTCCGATATTTGGTGACCTGGGAATCGTCGACAGTGCCGTTTTCCAAACACATACTGTTGAATTTCAAGTCATTGCGGCTCTTGAAATTGCAAAGCCACCCATTGCTGAACTTGAAGTCCTTCACGTTCATCTCAAGTGTAAAAACCTTTGCCTTCTGCTTCAGGATGTCACCTGACACCGGGATTTTCTTGGTCATCATGGCTTTGAACAACAGGAGGAACGTTTCCTCGAGCTTCGAGTAAACAACCTGACTCACATTCTGCAGCCCCGGTTGATTGGCAGCCGCTTCCGAGATCTCCGCCTTGTTTTTCATGAAGTTCGAAAGAGTTTGCTTTGAAATTTCAAACTCAGTCTTCACCTCTGCCTGCGACCGGCCACTTTGGACCTGTTTGATGATGGCGGCATTTTTTTCTATTGTAATCCTACGAGGGGGATTTGTGCGCTTTGAAGGCAGTGACAAAGATGAAGGAGCAGTTGGTGCCATAGCTGTTAAAGGTGAATTTGCTTGATGAAAAGTGCAGTGCCAAACAGTTAGAAACTCGGTGGCTGCTGACGCCCAGGAAACGTGAACACTGAAGATAGTGTGCTGCAGCGCACAATCTACCGCAGAGCTGACAGAAGAACAACACATGAACGAAAACAGTGAGGTTTGACCACAGGTTTGACTAGGCTACGGCTGGCAATGAATCGGCGTGCGCTAGATTGCGGCGATTGCGGCTTGGATGGTATGGCAGCCGTGGCGCGGTGCTGCTGGCCACACTAGGCCACACCTGCAATGCGAGTTTTGTGGGTTCGTAGGCATCAAAACAACCAAAATGGCGGCATTTATGGTTACTTCGAGTTTGCGGTTAGCAGTAAAAAGTTCGAAAAATTGGATAGCGGCGGCTATAAGCATTCGAATTTTCATACATTTAATACATTGACTCTATGGGGAATCAAAGTGCCACATATGAGTCCGGGAAATCGGGCATGTCCGGAATTTCGGGCTTCTGAGAAGTACACGAAGAAGATACTAGTCCAAAATCATGCAGTTATTTTTTTTTTCCTAGGATAAATCTAAGGGTTAAATTGTTCAGAAGTCATGCCCATTTTGTTTTTTCGTAATACTTATTGGTTTTTCAGTAAAACTGCATGTAACGAAAACTTTTATATAGCAAAGTATTGCCAACATCCGTCTTTTTCATTACGGTTTAACAGTGGATGACCGTCTGCTGTATTTTGGCTATTGCAGGCGCCAGCTGCGGCGTGATCCTCGTGCTGAGCCACTCGTCGGAGAACGGGTCCCCTATGTGGTGGTTTACGGGCACCCAGGCCAGCGTTTGATTGAGCTTGTGCGGTCACCTTTAGACCTGCTGTCTGGTCAGCTACGCATCAATGCCCACTACTATGTGGCACGTGTAATTGGTCCTGCACTCAACCGTGTTCTTCGCCTGCTTGGTGCCGATTGCCTTCAGTGGTGAGTGTTGCCACGCTCACTATGATATTTGTCGCAATGCTACATTTGGGTGAAATCTGGTTCCGCTGTCTGTGCAAGCTACCCGAAGAGCACCAACATATTCATCATCTTTATGAAAGGGAACATGTCTGCACGTTGCTGGTAGCCTTCTAGGCCACATAAGGCATGGCCCAATGGCAATGGGAAAAGGAGAGAACAGTGCCATTTTTTCTACCACCTGCACTCCCGTAGTGAATGTGTCGATCTTTTATGCCTCCTGTTTGAAAGCAATGTTCTGTTTGAACATTCCAGAAAACTTGCGTCGTCTTAGATACAGATTGTTACTACAGTAGACTCGCGATAATTCAAACTGGGATACTTCATACGTTCAATTAATTCAAGTAAAATTCAATTTTTGGTGGGTCCTTTATTCTCTCATTGTACTTAAAAGCCTCCTAAATCAAACTCTATCATTCCATTAATTTGTACTTTTTGTAGTTGCATACCAAAAAATACCTGCTGCATTCCCACTACTATTTAAAAATTTGCCATGCTTATATAAGTCGAGAGCGCTCATAACGAACCTGAGCCTGACGTGGCATCCGTTCGCTGTATCCCGAAGTTTGTAGTAAAGAAACACAGCTTTTAAAAAAGTTGCGAGGGAAAACAAAATCTTTTTCCTAGAAAAGTCCGTGATGCACGTGTTTCGAAGAGCGGAAGCGATAAGGGCAGTCTCGAGTTTATTTCAAACGGCAGCATGCTCTTCGCTGAGGCCCGTGGCGTATGCTGCATGAGACACTGGCTCCAAAGTTTTGTTGTTCTCGCACTCGAATTCTCTTGCCGTGTACTTACTTCATTCACAATGCCCTAATCTGTGCATGATTCTTCAGTGTTGGCATCATCATCGGCCATAATGAAACCATCGCAACAGAGGTCCCACTTACTCTCCCATGTCAGAGTTGACAATGCGCTTCCACAAATTGCCGCCGCAGTGGTCGTGTTCGAAAGCTTCAGGCTCGGCTTTTGCGCGCATGGGCCCGTCACCACAACAGTTTCGCGCGCATTTGGCCGTCACCGCCGCCAAAAATATTCACCAACTCCACAGCTGAATACCGGGATGCTCGAAGCGGCAAGTTTGCTGCCAGGGGGTCAACAGCTATGAGCAAGCGCTCCACAACATGGCACCTAACGCGTGGATTACGCCCAAACCAAGCGGACACACTTTCGATGTTTTGTTGAACAACGGAAAAAAGCATGGAAGGCCTCCCGTTCGCTATCCTGACCACACACGCACACCATGAGCGAGCAAAACGCGCACATGCGACACAGATGCCAAAATGCGTGGAGCAGCTCTAGGCCTGTTTCTAGTCGGAAAACAAAACTTCTGAATTTGAGCCAGCGTAGCTGGCATCACAGAGCAGTGGAGACAGGGGAAGGAGTTGTGATCAAGAAAGGAAAGCAGATTTGCGAGAGAAGAGCAAGGAGTTGCGATAGAGTGAAGAGAGGGGAGGATACGGTGAGAAGTCGTCCTTGAAAATCAAAACACACGGGAAAGATGCAGGTCGGGTAGCTTGCTTGAAAGGTCTGCAAAACGTGCAACTCAGGCGTAGAAAAACTCGAAAGAGTGCTAGCTCGCAGAGGTGAAAGAATCGTTTTGTTGCACGGGTGGGCTTGAGTGGCCTCACAGACTTCGATATTTCACGATTCGTTCCGCCTAAATAACACCCGTTTTTACGCTTCCGCACAAGTGAGGAGGGCATGCTGAGCTGAGTGTGAAGTGAGCGAGAACAGGTTCTAAACACGATACGAATCGCGAATCATCGGAGTCAGTGGGGTAGTCTACGCGCAGGCACTAAAACGATACAATAACACAAGACGCAGGCGAGTGAATACAGTCGGTGGCCGACGATGCCAACGATAGTACCAGCAATCAAAAACTGAGGGGAGATGGCCGACCGGTCTTCGGAAGATCGGTGGCAGTGGGAAAACACAGGGCTCATCAACTGGTGATGCAGAGTTCTCAGAGTAGCGGGGGGGGAGGGGGGGGGGGGGGACAAAGGACGAAGAGCTGCGTAACAAGAAGCAGTCAGGGAAAGCGGCAACTAGAGGGGCACGGAGGCAGGGTCGGCGTTTAACAATAGGAATCTATGGGCACCTCGTCGATGCCTGATCAGTGGTTGAAAGTGGTTTCCCGGGAAGTCGGCAGAGCGTCGACTCCATTCGCTGTAACCGATCGGCGGCGCTTGTATTTGAAATTTTGTGCCATTGAAATAATGCATATTTTCACGGTCACACGGATATTGTTCGTTTTAAGCAAAATTTCATTTTAAGTAGGGCTGTTATATGTGGGCTCGACTGTAATCCTAAGTCTCAAAATGAAAAGTAAGCACCTCTGGCGTTTAATGAAAAAAGGCTTTGCTAGGAAACAAATGTTTGAAACAAACCATGGTAAACCGTGATGCTTCTCAACTTGTATAGAGGGCTTTGTACTGAAGGCACATACCTATATCAAAGAAGCAGGTGGCAATTCATGATTCCTTTAAAAGGTCTGATCAACGACATTAATGGCCAGATAACTTGTGGACCTTACTCCTCTGCTTTCTGTTCATTGCATGCAGTTAGGGTTTAAAAACACTTGAAAACTTCTTAAGTGCGATAAAATCATTTCCTAATCATAATGCATAGTGTCACTTGACCCAAAGTCATCTATCTGAGAACTTCTGATAATTCAAACTCCTTGATAATACAAACAAAATTCAGAGGTCCCTTCAAGTTTGAATTAACGAGAGTCGACTGTATCACAACTTTTGAAGCATATGAATCAATTTAGGGGAATAACAATTTTGCAACATGTGCCGGCAATAGAAAAGATGGCATTGATGTTTCCTTCTAATTTTGCTTCTTGCTTTGGTGCTGTGCCTTAGTTTCCTTCCCGCCTATCTGCCGAATCCTCGCATGTTCCTTGTGATGGATGTACTTGAGTAACACATATGAGGAGTGTGTTACTTTGCGAGTCTAATGGGAAAGCTGAATGTGTGATCATTGATTCAATGTCCATGAGATCGACTTACTTATTCATGATCACTGAATGGTTTTCTTCCTAGTTTTTTAAGCAAGTAAGACAGAGAATCAAAAGGTGCCCTTTATCCATTTCTACTCTCATAATTCTAATTGGTCACTGTGATCATTAATATGTCACAATGTTCAATAACTCATAAATTGCCGTACCTTGGTGCACAGAACGTGAGTGGTGTGCTTTGTTGCAGGTACGAGGAGCTTCCAAGGCCTCGCTTTGTGTCTACCCCGCGTCCAGGTACTATGGCCGCCTACGTGGTGGTGAACCAGCTGTGCCTGGCATGCGGTGGACAGGCGGAGTCGCGACAGCTGTGCGCCTCTTGCGAAGCAGACCCTGCCTATGCAGCGCTCATCCTCGGCGGCAAGGTGCAGCGTGTCCAGAAGGCACTGCTTGAGCTGCAGACCGTGTGCCACAGTTGCATGGGCTTTCAGGCCGGCAGTGTCTGCTTGTCAGTCGACTGTCCCGTCCTCTTCAAGACATCGCGCGTCACAACAGAGGCGCAACAAGCCCTCGAGTGGAACCGAGCCAGAAACGATGTCCCTGCCTCGTCGTCCTAGTCGTGCTGGCCTCTTCTAGCGAACCCTGCCTTTCTATACGTATGCACCATAGTTTGGCAGCTGTTCTGATCTTTCTCACGCACAGTATTTACATCTCTGAGAACATGACTCGACGTGACATAGACGTGTGGTGCCGTAGCTGTGAGCTGCACATGCAACATGCATGACATTGGTGTCCTCGATAGATACGCTGGAAACTCCGCTTTGTTGTGACAGACAATCCAGCGTTAAGAAGGCCAGTGATTTATTAATAGGCTGTTTGTTTTTTTAGCGAGAATTTTCGCCAGTACAACTGTGTTCATGACAAGTTCACCTCTTCAAGCATGAGTGCTCCAAGCATGGCCATGTTTTGCTCAGGTGAATTTGAACAAAGCGGACAGTGCCGCTATTCGCACAAGTGGTTCATTGTCAGAGTTAGTCATTGCCGACGGATGGACCAGAGGAACTGCACAACTGGATGAGCTTTGTGATCGTGCAATTTTCTTTAACACGCTGCAGTTCATTTTCAAGAAGCTGTGTGATCATGAAGACTTTTTTTTTGTTCATGTGTGCTGCTGCTTTTCCCGTTTTTCTTTGGCCAAGCAGGCCAAGTTCACAGGCCCACACATCTGCTTGGAATTGGTGCTGCAATAAGCACCTGATTCACGCTCCATATTTATATTCTGTGATCCAGGTGGAGGGAGATGATCAGTAGTCATGGTGGCAGGTAGCCACGTCAACATCTGCAAGGTATGCAGCATAGTCAGTCACATTTATGTTCGTTTGTGTGCTGTGCGTTTATTTCTGTTTGAAACTGTGCATGTGGAGTGCTTTGGGTGAGTGGCGGGTGTCTGGGTTGTGTGACCTTTCTTATACCATACGTGATGAGCCAAGCAGCTCCTCTCGTGTCTGTGTCTGCATTTCTGTACATATAATGGCTTTCAACTGTCTCATTGTGTTCGATTAAAATGAAGAAAAATCTATTTCACAAATTGAAACTGTTGTCACGCTTTGTGTGTGGGGCAGGGCTGCTAGGCACTGACACGGCCTTTTAGGAGCTTGCTCATCAAGCTTCTTATGCTCGCGCCTTGTCCAGTTGTTGGCAGCCTGTACACTAGTTCTCTTTGCTTCCAATAGAGGCGCCAATGTGGTCGCTCTCGCGATTCAAGCAAACGGTGGCGCTGCATGTTAGATAGATGACCTCTAGAGGGGCGCACCTGCATACAGCACTTGCGTTTGGTGCAGTTTTTTTCTCATCGCTGGGAGCTCAATCAGTGAAGACTCTTCGTTACCTCTCCGCAGCATGTTCGTTACAGCTCTGCAGCACGAATACCCCTGAAGCCAAGGCAGCAGCGTGGTGGGCTTGCAATACAGCAGCAGCTCGGGCTCACCGCCAAGACCTTGCTGTGAGAGCATGTGAGGCCGAAGTGAAGAGGGCTGCCCGTCAAGCAAACGTGGAGCTGTGGGCCACTGAAGCAGAAGATAGGCGGACATGCTGTCATGCAAACCTGTCATGTTTTTAATTGATGGTAGAGGAATTTGTACAAAGTATTTGCGGATTACCCGATCATCTCCGAGTAAGCTCCTCTAACATAATTCACTTTGAGGGATATGCCGGTGATTTGCATTTCAATTGTCGAGCACTTTAGGGACCCAGGCTGTCGTATTCTGTCATTGCTTGGTGTAACACAGGCAAAACCACTTATATAAAAAGAAAAAAAAGATGAAGCAAGTGAAAAATAGGGAGATACAAAGGGAAAAGACAGAAAGAAAAAATAGAAATAAAGACAAATCAATGAAAAAAGAGAAGAGGAAAGAGAAAACAAGGGAAACAAAGAAGGATGACCAACACTGCACTTCCTTAAAGTATGGCACTACTTGTCCGAAGTTGCGTAAATTTTTATAAGTGCACAACGCTTTAAGCTCCTGGCTTGTCGCGCATCCATACAATTCATGTGGTTGGGTTATGCTCACAATAAATTGCTCAGTACAGGCCTCAAACAAAACTAGCAATGCTCAAAACTGTGTTAAAGGGAAAAGCATGGTCTAAAATAAAATATAACTAACAAAATAGCCACGAAGTAATTGGTATAATTTAACCGGAAATTGTTAAAAATGTTTCAGAAACCACTGGCTCACTCCGGCGCCGTGCACCATCACCTTGTCAGGCATGCGATTCGTCCTCCCATCGGCACACCTTTAGGGCCTAATCAATGTGTGCACTCATTGGCAACCGCTCCTGGAAAGACAGCGTCGATGCCACGCAAACCCTGAGCACAGCAAACAGGTGCAGCGCGACAGGCTTAGCGACATAGGCCTTTGCCTCTCCAAGTGAAGGCTCTCTGAGTAGCAACAGAGTGTAAGTGACAGGGCTGGGCAGATATACTCCAAGAAATATTCCGAAATACAGACGTACATGCACGGGAGCCCGGAAATACAGAGACTGAGATACATTAACATATAACTGAGATACATCTTTAACGTAGCTAGATATTTTAGAAATACATTTGCAAGACGAAGAGAAAGTATCCCGAAATGCAGATACAAGGATAGAGATGCTGCAATGTTCTTTCTTTTTATTTGGGGACGCTGATGCTCTGCATGAATGAAAGTACTGTAAAATATTGTCATCAATATTGGAGTGCATTGAAGCATATCACTAAATACACTAACATACATGAATAATTGCAGGGCAAGCGTACAAATATTTTGCACAGAAAATCAGCTTTGCTGAGAAGGCAACAGCAGCTCCTCAAGTATGCTGTGCACTAGACATTGTTGGGTTGGTTTCAACATAAGGTTCACGAAGTTTGCAAATGGCCTGCCTGCTGAAAAAATCTAATCTGCTGCACGAGCCGTGAAAAATAACGACTTGAAATATACTGGTGACGGTTCTGTTGTCAGCGGAATCGAGTGCTTCACCACATGGGTGTGCCTTTTCTTGGCTTCGTACAAAAAAGAAAAAGTATTTCCATTTTCAAGCACGCCAAATAATTTCTGATGAATAATAATAATGAAATAGTATAGTACCAATATGATAAAATCAATAAATTTATAACACATTTCGCTACTGCGATACTAATATATTTTTGAAATATATCATGATACAGAAATGTAGGTACTCTAAGGTATCGCTGATATAATATAGTGATACTGTTTGGCTATGGTAAGCGGTGAAAACAAGCCCAGTATTGTTAAAGTTCTGACCACTCCAGCTCATCACCGCTAGTAAACCGATCCTGAAACTTGACACAAGGCAAGCGCAAGTGGGTCTTTTACGTCGCCAGAGTAATCCAGCCGTGGTGTGTGAGAATGCAGCTGCCACTCAACTTTAATATCGCCGGAACAAACCAAATGCCTCTTTCGTGTGCGAAATGCAACCACAGCATAACTGCATCTAATTGCCATTGCTACAATGCGAATAGTGAATTTCAGATTCAAAGTTGGTAGTGCATTAGTTCGAATAATTTAGATTTGAATTATTATTGTGTATAGTATAACATAAAAATTGGCCCCGTATCTGCATGTTTCACTGCAAATGTCATCGAAAGACGATAGTCTTGCGTGTAGAGAGAGTGAACAAAACGTTTAATTGATGTTCAGCGCGAGAAAATCGGTGAATTGTATTCTGGAAGCGCTGCGTTAGAGTCTCGATCCTTGCAGCGAAGGCTAGTGAGTGCATCGAGGCATGTTAGAGTAACGGCACCATATGGACCATATACAGTTACTCTAAGGATGAATGGACGGATGGATGGATTGATATGGCTGTACCCTTTGGATCGGGTGGCGGCTAACGCCACCTAGCCGTATTACTTAGTGAACCAACAACTAGATTTATCTTTTTTTCGCTTTAAATAGTGAAGTTCAGGACTGGTACTTTGCAGTGAAGTATTTAATTTTCACTCGTGCCTTGATTTTAGCCACCAATCAGATAACCTCTTTCTAGTTATTTCTACCCCGTAAAATCTATTTTGCCCTCGCTGTCCCTGAATCCCAGTGCTTTGAAAAACTCTGTGCCATCATCCTGAACAATAGGGTGAAGCACTTTACAGAACGTTATCACATGTTCGGCAGTTTCCTCCTCTCCACATGCACTGCATACCGTGTCTACCCCCATCGTATTTGTCTTGGTTCGCAATACTCCCGTCCTGGCCTCAAACACTAGAGAACTACCCCGAGTATTATCATAGATCTTTTCTTTGGCAATTCCCTGCTTAAAAGTTTGATAGATCTCTAGTGCGGACTTCTTAATTATGCCGATTCTCCACATGTCGGTCTCCATTTCCTTCACCTTCTACTTAGCCGATAGTTCTTTTTGGTTTAGCCCCCTGCTCTTTTCTAAGTATTTACTTGTCTATTTTCTGGTTTGCTTTCTCCATTTTGTATTGGCATTCCTCACGTACAAGTAGCTGAAAATCTTCCTATAGAACGCGGTTGCTTTAACGTTGAAATTACAATGCTGTGGCTGAGTATAACAAGCGGAGCTACTAGTTCGTGCAAATATGGATGCCAATGATCGATAACGTTTACGGCGGGTACTCCTAGAAGTGGCTGCCTGAACGCAACAAGGTACATTTAAGGCAACATTCTCTGACATAATTTTGTATAAAAACGTTGAACGATTCAACTTTCTTCTTGTTTCTAACAAAGTAATTCAGCATATTGATGACAACTCCTGTCGGAAGCAACCCACAAATAGCCGAGAAAAAATCGCAGCATATCCATGACGTGAATGATGACGAGTGGGGCAAAGTGTGTGGATGGACAGATAGGCGAACGCACGGACGAATGAAGGCATGGACGCACGGAAACATGGACGGACTGATGGATGCTTCGTCCCACTCATCATCATTCACTCCGTGGATATGCTGTGACACCGTTTTTATTGACATCCAATGCAATGCAACTGGCTACTACGACGACACGGGACATACGATCCACGGCGTAAGGAGCTTCCCTAAAAAACGTATGTTGATGAGCAGGTCGAAAGAATATTTCAAATGCAGCATTCGGCGATGCTTTGATACGAGCAATAAAAAAGGTGCCCTACCTCGTAAAGAACGCTGTTCTTTGTTGGAAGGAAGTTTTTTCGGCCGATGTTGTGCAGCCATTGCTGCTTGCGCAAGCCATCGTTTTCACCTTGGTGTTTCATTAAAAGTGCGTAGCCATTTTCACTGTAGTTGTTGCAGTCATAGACGCAAAAGCACTGCATAGCGCCCACGCAAAGCACAGATAACAAAGCGTGCGCTACATTTGTTACGAGAAACGTCGGTGAAAAATGGCGCGAGCGAAAAAGAAAAACACAAGCAAAGCTCAAGATCCACGCGTCTTTAAGGGCAACCACGAAGGAGACCAATCATCGTGCAGAAAAGATGTCGGAGACCAGGGAGGACGCGAAGGGGGCGAAGAGGGAGAGAGGAGGTCGAGCGCGTGGTGGCGGTACTTTCCCAAGATCAAGGGGCTTTATCTAGCCCGGCGGTGACTAGGAAAACTTCTTTAGCAACTATACTGCAAGGATGGTGGTGGCTATGCCACGAACACGTTTTGCTATTGGCCACAAAAGCGATAACCGCTGTGACTGCTTATCGGTGTCATGAACCGGTACGAGGGAAGCATATCGTTCCTACTCAGAACGTTGTTAAACAGCACCAGAATCACAGCGCGCGTGGGCGCCCCAGTGGGTTTGTCGCGTGGTATTTTTTTTTTATTTCGTAGGCATTTGTAATTAGCAGAAAACAATAATTAACAAATGTAATGTTAAAAACTGTCTAATCAAACGTTTTGCAAAGCGATCTACAACTTTCTCATTTAAACTCTTTATCCATCTTCATTCCTTCAAACGTTAGTTATTTCAACAGATCTAATTAAACAATAAATTTATTTAACACCAATTTAGAACACAAAAAAATAGTTTGACTGACTCCAGGCGACGGTCAGCAACATGCATTTTGTCGCGTCATAATTGCATGTGTCGGCATATTTTTAAACTCTGGCTAAA